CGGTGTCGCTTTTGCGTCCCAGTCGTGGCAGCTTGCTTGGTATGTGCTGATTCCCCCGAGGGTGTATCTGGCACAGTTTTGGTTGGTCCAAACTTTTCTTTGTCCCTAACCAATTTTTTCTTCCGTCTGGCGGCTCCCGAGAGTTTTTTACCCCTCGGTCGTTTGGCAGCTGCGCAGCCCGACGGTTCTTCTGAGGAAGTCCCGTCGGTACTTTGTGGTATTATAATATTATTGGTTTCCATATCATTCCCACGAGCAGCTAGGGAAAGGTTGGTCCACCCACACAGAGCCCCGAATGTGTGGGCAAGGCTGATACAATGAGGTGCGCCTGTTGCCTCAAGGTTAGTCGCTATTGGCTGGGCTTCCCCCCAGCCCATCAAAGTGTATTTTTTTTAAATATAACTACCCATTTTTTATTAGCTCATAGAATGCAGCTTGAAACGCTGCATATGCACCGTAAATTGTTTTTTCTTACTTGCGACGTTGGCAGATTATCGCCATTTTAGTAAAGTTTTGCTTAAAAACATGGTAACTTAAAAGTCATTGTAGAAGCAAAAAAAGCAGTTAAAGATACAAAAAATACGTGTTTCCAATTGCCACAGATCCGTTAGGAATTTTATTAAACCAAAATATTAATACATTATACAGGGTATTAACAATGTTGACTTCAATCTAAAACTTTTTAACGCAATATAACTTTTGTTTTTCAAATGGAAGTACCTATATTTTAATACTTCATTAGAGAGACAATTTACAAAGTTACACATTTGCATTTACACTTTAAGCTGTGAAATCAACCGTTTTCAAATTATAATTTATTTTATTTAGTGAGACCTAAGTGTACGATAATGTTCCTCAACAACAAAAGGAAACATCAAAACTTACATAATAATAAGAACAAGACTCAATATTGATGTTTAATAAATAATGACAGGGATCTTTTTCTACAAATATCTTATAGGCATTTTAGATGTGCGACCACTACGTGTAACTTCTACTTTTTGCCCTGACAACTTATTATTAATTACACATCGAGACACACCGCTAAAGCTAGTAAGCTAGTACTTTAATTGTCCGAGGTATTCAAGTCGGAACCGACTCCGTAAGTCATCCCTCAACCTCTCTTTGTTTTGCGCTCAGTTGCCTTTTCTGCAAAATAGTCATTTTTTGAGCTTTAAAACATCATGATGCATTATGGTTTCCCTGGCAAAACAGACAACTCTCACAGCCCAAATTTACGAGGCCAATTGCAGTAGTATATTCTGGATTTTTCTTCAGCTTCATCCTAGAATTTTCCTCACCCCTTTTTTCGAATGAAGTTTTTTCTGCCAATCCAATATCCTCCGCTGCTAGAACCAATCGCTGTTTATTATCTACCTCTCGTTTGAGGAAAGCCATCAATTGCCTTAACGTTATTTGCAAAGGAGGGGTCGAAACATCACCTGGACGTTCACTTGAGTCAATTGTGATAAACAATGTGGAACGTTGTCAACCTCTGAATAACTCATGTGGTAAACAAAATTCAATAAGAAGAAAAAGCATTGCACCATATTTATCAGAAATAATTCCTAAAGTTTCTAATTCCCGTAACTGTGTTTCTAAACTATCATACAATACGGACACATCCAATTTTTCTCTAGAAGCTGAGTTTGATAAAATGAGTTTCAATAGTCGTCTTACATATACCTCAATCTGCAAAGCCTCACGACCAAATCTGTCCTGCATGCTCTTTGATACTTCCATCATAATGTTTAAATTCGATAGTAAGTAATTTTTTCTTCACATACCTATATGCTCTGCTGACTCTAAACTTCCTGCTGTGGATACTGATCTTGCATAAGGTTTCCTCTTGTTGTATCCTGGAAGCACCATCAAGTTTTTCCCACTTTGACCGCAATGCAGTGAATCTTCTAAAGTAAACTTCACGACCTTCCAGTTCACTTTCGAGTTCATCTTCTGTCGCGTTTTCCAGCAATAACTCAAAGAGTTCGTGGTTCAATACCTTTAGTTCGTCATATTTACCCGACAAAAGTTCCCATACCACTGGCGTAGTGTCTTCACACACGGTGGTTAGTAAAAGCGGTTCCAGCTCATTTGCCGTTCGCGTGAAAGAACTCCTCGTAACTTTCCTACATTTCTTTTTCTTGATATCGGTCATGGCGAACCCGGTTCTAAACCACCAACGTGTTTCCAATATATTTTAAAAGAACTTGAAACGTGTGGTAAAATCTCGCTTGCTGATTTTTCCCGACGATCCGAACACTTCAAAGTTTCAAAATTTCGGAAAAACCAGTAAAAGTCCGTTGAATCGCACTAGCTGCGCCTCGAGCCACCGTATAGTCGGACCGCATGACCGAAACCGTTTATGTGCAAGGGACATTGAAGGACTAAAGCCTCCGTCCCATGCATCCATTTATACGATGATACGATGGTACAAAAGTGTTTCTATTGGTCAGAGATTTTAGACGTTCGTACGATCCCGATTTCTAGCTGTCCCATGTATACCATAACCTTGGGTTGTGAACGATAACCATGCTTGCCGGATTCACAATTTTATCTTACCATACCGAACCAAGACAACCTCGAGTTCAGTTCTACGGCTGAAAAATAAGCAGCAATAAAACCTATCAAAGTTTTATGTATGAAAATATCAGGTCGTACCTGTAATTAAGCCAAAATATGAATTAACGTAGTAAAGAATTTTTAAGAAATATATGTGTTTTGAATATTCTGATCGAAAGCAAAATGATACGGCAACATTGCTTAAAATGGAGGTACATATTTAATTATATTAAATATAATTTATCTATTGGTTAGTTATATGTAATAACAAACCGTTCAACGAATAATTTTAACTCAATTATTAGATCATAGATATAACTTAATATAAATAATACTTAAAACGTGGACGAAGCACATGTCTCGACCTTACGATTTTCGATGTAATTTAAGTGCGTTTTGAATATTATTATGAAATGAATGTCCAAAAATTTAATTTTACTTGTTTGCTTTCGTCAAAATTCCGGCGTTTATACCAAATTAGGTTTCGGAAAAAAGTTGATTCAATTGAAGCAATAGATATCTAAGCAGATGGAAGTAAAACTGAGGAGGAACATACAGGGTGATTCAAAATTGGCGTCATTCTGATGTTGTCTGGCGCTGTTATAGGAGTACAGAAAGTAAGATAGACAAGGATAAACGGTAAATTCAAACAGATTTGTTGACTGCGCAACGAACTTTCGAAATGTCAACCTGTTCTCATAACCTCGAATATTGGTGTTTAAAAATGAACCATACAACACCAAACATTTGAATGGTTAACGCCAAACAAGCTAGTGCCTGTGTAATCTCCTTATTATCTACTCTTATCAAGCAGCTTCTCGTATTCAGTTAATTAACTCTTGCTCCATTTGTACATGTGTGTGCTCCCTATAATGTGTGTATCGTACATACGTGGTAGGAATGTAGCCCTTCCTCGGTATTTATTTGGTGCTTGGGAAAGTGTCAGTTATTGTGAGAGCACCCAACTAATAAGGGCCTTCCAGGGGCACCAAGCCCCTGGAAAGCCCTGATTCGGTTATGTCCAATACTTGTTCCTCTGTGCCTGGAACCCGAACATCGATTGTCGTCC